GAGCAGAAAATGTGTACGTGCTTTTTCGTGCAGAATTACTTTGTTCAAATGTATTTTCTCAGAAGTACCACTCCATATCGTTTCGCGATTATGTCGCGTGTTATTTTGGTATGATGCCCGATACTTTGCTCTGCGTGAAACTGCAGAAATACACGCACACAGACCGAAAATCATCGGTTTCTGAAGCAGCTCTCAGAACGCGGAGCGAAACATCGGGCATCATACCGACCAACACGCGGTACAACCCCCAAAACACATCAGAGAGGGAGTGACTCAAAACATTTGTTCGTGGTGACCTCGTTTTTTTGGAGGTGTCCTGCCAAAAGTATAAAATGTGTTCCGCTCAAGTAGAGTACATCGGTTATTAGCGGACGAGATAGATGCTTTGTCGATACATATTTTTGGTATAGCGCAGCGTTGGCCCAGGACAGTGTACGGGTTAGCAACAATACATCGGTCGCACTATGAGAAAGCGCCACTATGTTTTCAGTCTGGTGTAATGTTTATGTGTTGCACTTCTTTCGCACCGTACGAAACCAACCGTGCTAATCGGAGGTGCGGGGAAGGGTAATGTATCAAGTGGTGGAATGCAATACAATCTCACAAGCATTGTAATTGAAGCACCAGTTCCTCGTGGAAAATGTTCTTAGTTTGGGGCATTATAGATACGTGTGGAGCAGCGGGGTTAGGGAGCGTCCTGCGTTATGAAGCCGACAGTCTAAGCTTGATTCCCGGCTATGACCAACATCGGTGGCCAAAACCCACGCCTGGCAGAATGGTGAAGTATGGTCAAACAACCCCCATTATAAATACAGGGTGGAAATTGACACATTGTTATTATTACTTTGATTAAAGGTGATTGTGTCGTCGTGCCTGTACTCATCGCCTCGTGCTATTTGGTGAGGCTGTTGTGAAGTTGTGCGTTTCGTGTTGGTACTGGCATTCATTATTGGCAGACCTCCAAACTTAAAATCCGAGGGCTGACTTAACACCTGTTCTCTACTGAACAAAAATAGAGATACGCGGGCAATGTCGCATTCGTATATCTGTCTCCATATACACAAATACAAGTGTTATTTTACATAACCCATCAGCCCCACAACCTTCTGGGAGCACAACATTTCAATAAGCATTGATTCAGTTCAAGCAAACTCTGGACTGCTTTCGACATACTGTCATTCTTGCTTGAATAAATGCCAGTGAACTGCCCGATGTCATCGGCAAGGGCCCCCTCTCTTTAAGATGACGACACTCATAGTCGTTATAAGTTCTTTACAAAACTCTGCTTTACAATTGACGCAATAGGGATTTAGAGCGATCACGGCCCCCTAACTGCATTCTTGTCAAGGCTCTTTCGAAAACGAGGGGATGAGACTCTATGAGGATCGCCTGGGTAAGCGAGCCAAAACAATACAGAACTCTCCTTTGTGATCAACCAGGCTGGATGAGCCAGAACTCTTCCTCTATACGCAAATTGCAGGTGTAATTTGTCAAGCACAGGGCATCTCTCGTCTTTTGTGACACCCAGGGAAGCAACCGCCACGTCCTTAATATTAACATACTGACGGGCGTCTGTCCCACGTGGATCTCTGGTTTGGATTACTGATGAGTTCTCGAGCCCATTGGCGCTCTGCGTTATCTTCAGCGGGAGACAAGAAGGAGCATCGCCGCCTCAAGCGTAGACAGCTTCAGGGTGCTCCGACCAGATGCAGGCGCCTGGATGCGGTTGGTGGCAAGAGCTCGAGCCATTTCTCTGCTCCAGTTGTGTTTTCCATAGGGCCATTGATTATTCTGGGAGCAGTTGACTGGTTCAAAAGTATTTGTGTTTATTCAGTTGCTGGCCGCTTTGCGTTTTTTTTTTTTTGGGGGGGGGGCTTTGTGCGTTGGCAACTCTTACATGCTAGTTTGGCTCTGGTGTGTGGCCGATAGACGATAGCCTTCCCTAGTTGATGGACGATAAGGGAGCGTTTGGAAAAATACGGAGCAGGTGGTGACCCCCATAACCTAAAGGCCTGTGCCCTATTCAAATGGCAGACACGGAAGTCTGCTGGAAAAAAAAGCAATGTGAACGGAATCTATTTACCATCATTTAGCTTACAAAACTCGGGTCTTCTACCATTAGATTCATGGCAAACTGTATCATATGGTAATTACTATAGAACTTCAAGTGACAAATATAAAACTACTCAAAGAATGTAAATCATTCTTCATGGAAGCCAGTTTAAACCTACACGTAATATTTATCGTTGCATACTTTTATAGCAATTATTTTGTTAGTAATAATTATTATAATCTGGTCATGACCAAATCACCAAGAATGTACCCAGCGTTGCCATATCTCAGCAGCTTAGCAGGGTTGAGCGTGGATATGTATTGTATGGTTGGCCACCATGTGGGCTACGTGGTTGGGAGCATTGCAGCAACATATTTTATCGCGTTCTACTACGTTCCCACATCTATGCTCCTGGTCTCCTTCACAAACCCACACTGCCTAGCGTCGTGAAGTATGGTCAAAAATCACCCATGACACACCCGGCAAAGGGGGGAGGGGTGGGTAGGGAGGCTTTCACCCAGCAGTGGATTTACAAAACGGCTCTACATGTCACGTAAACAACAACAACAACAAACCGCGACGATCCTGAAACGACGCAACCTTTTCTCCAGCTCGCCTTCGCAGAGTACCCTGCACCGACAAATCTCCCGAAGTTTGCCTGGGCGTCTTTTCCTCCGCTCCCATCGGAGCGCCGCCGAGCGTCGCCGCAACTTCGTAGAGCGTCTCTTAAAAGAGCGAGCGCTTAAGTGGAAACAGACGTCTTGAACGGGGCCACACTTTGTTATATGCACGTTTTGGGTTGGGTTGGGGGGGGGTTTGCAGGGCTTTGCGGATTCCCACCCCTCCCCACCTCTCTGACGCACGTTGGGCTTGGCGATTGCCTCATTCATCACAGACGTTGTGGGGGGTGGGGGCACTTTAAATCATCACGCGCCGCGCATTAAAATCCAATCTCGGCCGGCCTCCGCTGTGCGCATCGGGTAGCAAGCAGCGGCAGCGGCACGGCAACTCGAAACGCCAGCAGCCCTCGGACGCCGGGAGAAAAGGTTGAGGGCACGAGTTAGGGCCATTATCTACCTGGAGGTGAACGTCCATAGATCGAGGCGTCATGTTTCACCCGCTCAGCTCGTCAAAGCCGCTTGTTCGAGCGCCCCCGGGTTTGCTCAGCCGTTGCCAAGTGCAGGTGGCGATGTGCTAAATTAAAGTGCAGGTAATTCGTCGGTTGGAGTGTGGGGGGGGGGGGGTTGGTTCTTGGAATCTGGCGCAGGCGTTTACCCAAAAAGTTGCCGTGATGCCGAGCGCAATCCATCATGCTGACCTCTCGCGAGCCTCGATTAGTGGGAGCAGGAGGCCAAGGGTGAGTGTGCCAGGCACGCCCAAGCACAGATGGTGTATCCCTGTGCAAGCAGAGAGTGCCCGCCTTCCCCCTCACCCACCCAGACAGCCACGGGAGGGGCTCGTGGAACAGTGGAAGAAAAATGTGGGCAAATGTCTTCATCGCATTTCACTGAACCATTGTAGGGCTTGTAGGGGGTGCTGAATGCTATAGTAGCACGTACATTCATTCGTAGTCGTTAATTAATTGTTGGAACATTGGGACACTTGAGTGGCGGGCATTGCAGTCATTCGTCGTATATACAACGGGGGGTTACCGCCGGAGCATAATGCGTGATGGTAAAGAAACTCATTCTTGTTTCGCCGTCAACATGTTTAAGTTTATTTTACACCGTATGCCCCCCCCAACCCCCTTTTTGAACAATATTACGCTACAGGGTTGGATAGGACGTAACAATGCGTCAATTACAATAATCTACGTGGAAATGTGCATGTAAGAATGAAAGTGTTCATCTTCTTTGGTTCCTTCGGTAAAGTCACGTAGAATGAGAATAAAATAATAAATTGATAAAATGAAATAACACAATAAAATTCTCACGACGTTTCGGCCACAACACAAGCGGCCTTCATCAGGTGAATGGACGAGACTGTCTGATGAAGGCCGCTTGTGTTGTGGCCGAAACGTCGTGAGAATTTTATTGTGTTATTTTATTTTATCAATTTATTATTTTATTCTCATTCTACGTTACTTTACCGAAATAACAAAAGAAGATGAATCCTTGCAGTCACGAAAGCTTTAAATCGAAAAATAAAAGTGTTGATTTGTATGTATTGTATAGTCGCTACGGGTCAGCACAATGTAACAAAAAAAATGCTTCTTGAATTGAGCTTGAATTGTGAAATATTACAGTGTTGCGAATCCATATAATGCCAATTGGTATACATTTAGGATGATTTCAGCGTTCATGTACATATTGGATGCAAATACTGTTGCCAATAGTATGCGAGGCACAATGTTACAAGTCACGCTTATTTAAAAACCAAAAAATTATGATTTACAGCCCTTTGTCAGTGCATGATGGATTAACTCCTCCCCATGCCATGTGGGTCACATATTTTAAAGCCTCATACCTAAAACCTCTTATTTTAGCACTGGGGGTGGAAGCATTGGTCGTGGTAAGTACACCACACTATGAACCCAGTCACCTGAGTTCGAATCATGGACCATGGCTTACATAAGTAGTAAATTACGAACTGATCAAAACAGAAAGCAAGGAGTACTGCCGAATTTTTCTAAAGATTACAAGTTTGCTATTTCACCTCTCACCTAAGGACATCTCCAATCGATTCGTGGAATATCCTATTATCCACGGAAGGATAACTGTATTTATATCCGCATTGTGATCCAAAATGTATCCTAATACAGTATCTGCATTTTATCAGTGGATGCCACCCAGAAGTGCTTTCTAAAATTGTTAAAATTCATCTTCATACAACATATCTCTTCATGGATAATCATGCAGACATCAATCATACACATATATTGTTCACATCTGCCAACCTTCATATCAATGCAGAGAAAAGGTATTGCATTGGAATTTACGAAAAAATGTTTTCCAGAACTTGCATATTCGATTTTTATTTTTTCCCAACAGCAAACATGTCGACATAATTACATTAATTAAATACGTAGTCAATGCCTTACGCCAGGAACACTTCTGGATAAACTGTTCATAGGATAAAGAAATGTAACAAAGTACTAGCGACATAGCTTATAGATATTTCACACATCTCCAGTCTTGACATGACTTCCGTTTGCGGGCGTCCGCTTTAGATATAATCTTCCAGTTTTGGTTTAAAAAAGCATAATAATAAAAAAACACTCACCATCAAATTATGAAATAATTAGGGCCGAACACAGGAAGGGAGGGAGGATAATAGGTGCTTTGGGGTTGACAGCGTAAATAGTAGACAGATGGCGATAACAGCGCTATTTCTGTCGGACGCCACCCATCCGTCCCTGTTGGCTGTAAACATGGGGCACTTATTTTTAGCTGTTCCTTGATGTTGGCAGTACCCGGAAATCTGGGGTCAGATCGTTTTGCCAAGGGGTCCAAAGCCAATCTCCGTGCCTTGGGCAGCTGTGTCCAAGCCTAGGCATGTGGCCAGTTCAATGATTCCAGCAACTGGGTCCTGTGCCTCCCCTTGTCTAGAAATGCATCCACGAACATCAAATCATAGCAATTAAGTAGCAGCAGATAAATCACACATTTTTGCACCTTTCTTTATCATCAGGATTTAAATGTTATGCCAAACATAAACTGCACTAGTTCGCAACAGTTCTCAACCAGCTTTGCCAATGATCACAGTGCCACCAACTGGTGGCAGATGAAACTGAACGAGTATCCCGTGTTGATTTTCAGTCATCCTCAACGGTTTTTTTTTAATTGAAAAAAATCAGGTTCTCTTTTAGACTTTAATCAATGCAAACTTTCTGTGTTATACTGGGCTTTGTAATGATATGAATACCAGTGAAAGGCAATCTTACATACGTACAAAACTCAGTGTTGGGAAATCAACACTAAAAACCGTGCACCCATCTTCAAGTGATTTACTTACTCCAGGACGTTAACAGCTACAAAAAAAGATCCACCTTAAAGCCACGCGTTAACTATATGAACCACAGATACAAATAGTTTATTTGCTTGATTAAAACAAAAAATTCCATTTAATTGCTATTCGGGCTGAATGCATCGATTAATCAATTAATAATATTTTATGCAATTACACGTTTAATAGTCAATGCATTGTTTTGTACATATGCTACCATTCACCGTAATGTAAACAATGAATAATCTTGAATTACAGCCCTGGAATCATGTCAATTGATTGAATTTCCAGGGCAATTAACCATTTTACCCCTAATGTATCCCACTTAATGTCGAGTGCCACAAAACACATATCTTCTTGGTCAGAGAAACTGTGCAAGCCACAATGTCACTTTCATTTTTTGCGAAGCCACCTGAGCTTTGTGGATGTGTGTGCATCTTCAGCTATCAACCGCTGCCATATCAAGGGCCCGTATCAGGAAGCTCCACGTCCGCACGGCCTTCCCACTCGTTCTCCGCATGGTCACTTATTTCCTCCGTTTTCACCGGTTCCAGGCTCACCGCCGCTGCCCTTGTATCCGCCGTCCCACCGTTAGTCGACGCCGTGCTATTTTCCACCATGGCCACGGGCGGTATGAGTTGCTCCAATTCTTCGGCTGTGACGGCTACTCGCTCGGGCGCGAGCCATCGCCGGAACTGTGTCAGGGAGCTTTTTCAAGTTGTAAAAATGAAAAAGGGACAACAGCGACACATTTTCTATCGAGTGTACAGCCAAATAGAACAATAATCACAGGTAGCAATCATGGATAAATACGTCATTGCTTTTACTAAATATGGATTTAATCTTGTAAGTTTTCATCTTCAAATTTTAATGGTGTACTGTGTGTGTGCGATATCATTTATAAGGAATTCCTCGGCATTCGTAACAACTTTACAAATATTTGTATCATACATTAGGCATGTATTGATGCGTCAAGTAATCAATTTTAAATAATTCTCACCCATGATATATAAATCGAGTAGTTATAATATATGCCAAGTAAATGCATATGTTATGCTAATGTGATATTTACACTAATGTAGCGAAGAACAAATACAACCAAAACATGACCCTAAATATTAACAATTCACCGAATGGCTGAGGAAGAGGTGGGTGAAGTGTAACATGCCTACCCTACACACCGAGCCACACGTATGTTGCCCACTGAATTGTCAGATAAGTCTGGACGCTCACCCGTCTTCGAGGTTGTCTTCAGTGAAGGCCTCCGTGGATGAGTCGTCGTGCAGGAGACGGTCCAAGCACTCTTGCCGCGCCTGCGCCAGGCTGCTCACCATCTCCCGTGACGACACGGCCCGCTCCTGCCCTTTGATACGTCTCAGCCGTGACTCTATCATCAAACAAAGCAACAACAAAAATCCCCACAGCAATTTAGAATAATAACAATAACAAGTCATGGCAGTTTCCTACTCAAACAAGTATAGGTTGGTGTTCACATCCTGTTTGTATCTCTGAGCCGGTGGTAACATAAAAACATCAACACTTCTATGGGAGGGGTAAGTTTATCTATTGGGTAACTGTTGTTAATAAAATAAAATCAAGATTAACGTATATTATTGAGAGTGGGTGTTTAGTTATATAATTAAGCAACCAAATGTCAATATTTGTATGAATGTGATGGAAGTGGCATAGTGGTATTGCACTGGAATATATTTGCTGGACATTTTTTCCAAAACTAAAGGTACCAAAAATATTCATACTCATCGCCATGGGGTAATCCTGGGGTGGGGAACCTTTTTCTTCCGGAGGGCTGATTAAGACTTTTAAATACCGCTGGAAGGCCACACATTAATTTACACCAAATTTTGACCACCCAAGGACTGTACCCATTCACTCTCTGTTTATAGAAATGTTCAAGACAACAGGTGAAAATGTTCTCAAGACAGAAAGGGTTTCCAAGTTGAAAATATATTCCCTTTGAGTACTAGATTAGTGCAGCTAAGATACTTGCAGTGATGCATAAATGTTGTGGGACATTTCGAAATGGTTATCCTTCAGTACTCTGTATGAAATTAAGCTGTGGGTTGCGTCTGGCTAGTGGGATCTTGAATACGTTGGTTATGAACGTTGAACTTCTTTCGCACCGTACGTAGCCAACCGTGCTAATCGAAGGTGCGGGCCCTATTAACGAGCCCAAAAGGCTTCCTGTGCACAAAAATTATGCAAGCCTATGGCAAGGCAATACACAGCAAACAACTTTAAATAAGTTTAACACGTAGGCTTTTGCAACCAAAATTATCCATAAGAGATTTTATTTCAGACCGAAACAGAAGGATTTATCCACAACTCTGGCTGTCTACTGATGAGGCTAGTTGTCATTACTAGCAAAACATCGTACTCAAGTGACGAATTGGTATTTTTGTTTACGTGACAAACCTTACTAATTGGCGATGTAACCCAAAAAAACTCTTATGGATAACTTTGAATAAGATTACATTATTTTTACCGAGCAAGGCCAAGTAAGCTGCAGAATCGTCAAGTCGCCCAGACGCAGTGTCGGGGGCGGCTCTGCCGTCTTGCCGTGTGTTGACGCTGGAGGAGGTGGCGTTGCAAAGTGACGTTGCAAGAATCAGGGTCTGGGTTCCCCATTGCATCTCAGGAACCTTGTCCCCCGCTGCTTTAGTGATCCTGGTCACAGTGTCTCTCTTTGTCTCGGTGACAATGGTGTCGTCTCCCCGTGTCTGAGGGTTCCTTTCCAGTACATCCCCAAATGTCTCAGGAATCGTGATGGGAGCATCCCTGTGTGTTTTAGGGAATGGGGTATGGGTGTTGTTTCCCTGTGTCTCAGCGGCGTGGATGAGTGGGCCTCCCCGTGTGTCAGGAACTCCGGTGGAAGCGTCACTGCTTCCAAATGAATCCTCGAAGCCGTCAGTCGTGCTGGGAACCTCGGGGCCGGCGAGACCCTCACACACGTGGGCCCACGCCTCGCTCGACAGCGCCGAGTCCAGGGCCATGGAGCTGGAAGAGAGCCCCACAGAAAGAACGGAGGAGAACGAGGTGAGGACATTTCTCGGCAGCGGTGTCTCTGTGCTGCACTTGTTACGGTACTGGGGGTGTCCGGAGCTCTGACATTGGACGGTGACAAACCTTACCGGAGCAGATAGTTTTCCCGTCTTTGCTCTACTAACTGTTGGTCACCTAATATACAAACCTATAGCCCATATTTTCAACCTGTCTATCAAAGAAGCATAAGTTCCTCTAGAATGGAAACATTCCTATGTCCGTCCACTTCACAAAGGGGGCCCAAAAGATGATCCCAATAACTACCGACCAATCTCAATTTTGTCCCAATTGATGAAAATTTTTGAAAAATTATTGAACTAGCAAATTAGCAGTTTCCTGTCCACCAACAATCTACTACATCTAAAACAATCTGGGTTCCGAAAAAATACAGCACCACATCTGCTGCATTAGACTCTCTGAATCAAATTTACAGTAGCCTTGATAATAAGCAGTACTGTGCCTGTCTTTTTCTTGACCTGTCCAAAGCTTTTGATACAGTAGACCACAACACCCTGCTTAGTAAACTAAGTTGCCTCGGTTTTTCCAAAAACACAGTACAATGGTTAAAAAATTACCTCTTTTCTCGCACCCAAACTGTATTCACAGATGGTTGGAGGTCAAACAGTGTTAAGATAACAAAAGGGGTTCCACAGGGTTCCATCCTCGGCCCCCTCTTGTTCTCTCTTTATGTCAATGACTTGGGCACGGACCTGGATCATTCCAGGGTATATCTTTTTGCAGATGACACGATACTGATTACTGCTGGCTGCTCTCCGGATGACGTGATTGCTAAGCTCCAGGATGATTTCAATAAACTACAACATCAGCTAGTTGCTCTTAAACTAGTCCTGAATACCTCCAAAACCAAGGTGCTATGCTTCTCACCGGGACTAAAGCAGGAAGTTATTTTTTCCCCAATTACATTCCTTAAATAATTATAAAATAGAGCAAGTCAAGATCTATAAGTATCTTGGGGTCATCCTGGGTTCAAAAGTGAATTTTGAAGATCACATTGATTATATTGGTAAAAAGACAAAAATAAAAATTGGTTTTCTGTATCGACACAAGCACTGCTTCCCCCCTATGTTCTGTTTGGAATTGATAAAAGCTACCATACTGCCTCTACTTGATCACTGTGATATCGTGTATAAATCAGCCCCAAGTAATGTACTGAATAAGCTTGATTCCATCTATTACTCGGCCTTAAGATTTGCATTTAATTGCCCATATAGGACTCACCACTGTGATCTCTACATTGGGTCAAACTTAACATCTCTTAATGTTCGACGGCTTGTGCACCAGATCTTATTTATTCACGATGTACTTACAAAAAAATCCGCAGACTACCTGCTGGATCTCCTCTGTTTAAAAGAACAAATTTGACCTCAGGTCTTTGCTCATTCACCAGCTTCACATTCCCTATTGCCGTACAAAACCGGAGGAAGGGCCTTTGCTATTGATGCCCCCAGGGTCTGGAATGCTATTGCCAATAAACTGCAACTTGAATCACTACCTATGAGATCTTCACTCAAAACTGCTCAAGAGGAGTACACCCCTAGCTGCCACTGCTATTCAGTGGCCTAAAATAAAATAAAATGTTTCGCTCCGGATGACCTCTGCAAAGTATTAACTGTATTTTTATTTAGTGTGCTGATCTTAAAGGTGCATTGAAAAATGTGATACTCCGACTGACGCTCCTGTTGTTGTGGAGCGACTCATGTAGCCAGCTATGGCTCTAGGGCAGTGGTTCTTAACCTGGGTTCGGTGAGTCGATCTCAGGGGTTCGGCAGAGCCCCCGCCACGGAGGTCCGGACACACTTGAATTATTGTGTAAATTTGTGATGACACACACGGCCCGCTTGGCCATCACTGGCTGCAGATGATCATGCTACACTGCTTGGCCAATCAGCGCTGCGGGGAATTTAGTGCGTACTCAGTAGTCAACGTGTGACTGTTGTTGTCGTACGTCGTGTGATTTCTTTAATATTTTATCCATACTAACTATGTCGGGCAAAAGAAGAAAGTGGTCAGACGAATATGTACAACATGGATTCTCATGTATCACGGAACGTGATGGGAGTGAGCGTCCTATCTGCATGATTTGCAACGCCAAGTTGAGCAACTCTAGTCTTGCACCGGCAAAACTAAAGGAACACTTCTTGAAGCTGCATGGAGACGGGGAATACAAGAACACAACACTTGCTGAATTCAGGGTGAAGAGAGCCAGATTCGATGAAAGGGCCACTCTGCCTGCTCTTGGATTTGTACCTGTTAACAAACCGATCCTGACAGCATCGTACGAAGTTGCTTACCTGATCGCAAAGCAGGGCAAGCCACACACCATTGGTGAAACACTTGTGAAACCAGCTGCATTAAAGATGGCGAATCTGATACTCGGAACAGCGGCCGAAGGTAAATTATCCCAAATTCCCCTTTCAAATGACACCGTCAGTGACAGAATAGAAGACATGAGTAAAGACATCTTGGCTCAAGTAGTCGCGGATCTGATTTCAAGCCCGGCAAAATTCAGCCTTCAACTCGACGAAACCACAGACGTTTCTGATCTAAGCCAGCTTGCTGTTTTTGTACGCTATGTGAAAGACGACATGATAAAAGAAGAGTTTTTTTTATTTTGTAAGCCTCTTACAACAACAACGAAGGCAGCCGATGTGAAGAAGCTTGTGGATGACTTCTTCAGAGACAACAATCTTTCATGGGATATGGTTTCTGCAGTTTGTACGGACGGAGCTCCAGTCATGCTGGGAAGAAAGTCTGGTTTTGGTGCGCTAGTAAAGGCCGATGCACCATACATCATTGTGACGCATTGTATTCTGCACAGGCATGCGTTGGCAACAAAAACCTTACCTCCAAAAATGGCAGAAGTATTAAAAACTGTGGTGGAATGTGTGAACTATGTGCGAAAAAGTGCTCTGAGGCACCGCATCTTCAGTGAGCTGTGTAAAGAAATGGGCTCTGAATTTGAGGTACTTCTGCTCCATTCTAATATTCGGTGGTTATCCCGGGGACAGGTGCTGAATCGTGTTTTTTGCCATGCGTGTGGAATTAGCCCTGTTTTTGCAAGAGCACCAACACTGCCATGCAGATTGCTTCAAAAATCCTGAGTTCATTCTCATTTTAGCGTACATGGCTGATATATTCGCAGCTCTCAATCATCTCAATCAGCAGATGCAGGGTGGTGGAGTCAATATCATGGAAGCGGAAGAACACCTGAAGGCTTTTCAAAAAAAGCTACCGTTATGGAAACGACGAACAGAGAACAATAACTTCGCAAACTTCCCGCTTCTGGACGACTGTGCAAGTAAGATCGAAGATGTGTCTGGAATCGGAGATATTTCTGTATCCACGGAACTGAAGCAAACAATTGCCACGCACTTAGATGAGCTTGCAAAGTCTCTCGACGGATATTTCCCTACAAGAGAGTCATATCCAGCATGGGTGAGACAGCCGTTCACGTTTGCTGTTGAAACAGCAGATGTCAATGATGAATTCCTCGACGAAATCATTGAAATTCAGCAGAGCCAGGTTCAACAGCAACTCTTCAGAACAACAACGCTCTCAACGTTTTGGTGTCGACAAATGAACAAGTATCCAGTTATTGCTAAGAAAGCCCTGGATTTTTTTATACCATTTGTTACAACATATCTTTGTGAGCAATCCTTTTCGAGGATGCTGGACATAAAAACGAAGAAAAGGAACAGACTTTGCTGTGAAAATGACATGAGAGTGGCACTTGCCAAGGTGAAGCCACGCATATCTGAACTGATCTCTCAAAGGCAACAGCAGAAGTCACATATATTTCCAGGTATGTAATTTGTTGTGAGTTTATGCATTGTGTTGGTTTTATTCTTTGAACAAGGTAATGTTCATGCACGGCTCATTTTGTGTACCAGTAAAAAACATATCTATGTCTTGAATTTGAAAAAAATCACATTTTATTTTTCACTAAAGAGGGGTTCGGTGAATGCGCATATGAAACTGGTGGGGTTCGGTACCTCCAACAAGGTTAAGAACCACTGCTCTAGGGTATGGTGTTACATGTTATTTATGTAGTTTATTGTAAAAAATTAGGGCACAGTCCCTATGATCACTGTTACATTGCATTTATGGCTTTATTTTGGTGATTTCGAAAACGTTTTTTTGGTTTGGCCATGTTTTTGTTTATTGTATTCCGAAGTTAGACTGATGGCCTTAATCTTAGTTGTCTTGTGGTTGTTGTTGTTTGACTTGCATCCCACTGGGATTTTTGCACACAGCGTTGGTGTACGGTGCTATTTCAGGAATATTTTGATGGTTTTTTTTCCCTGGATTTTCTGTGTGCACAGTCACATAGTCACTTTAAGATGTTTTTCTTGTTCATGTTTGTGTTTGTTGCGGTTGCACCCGATTCAAGAGCCGAATGGCTCACAGGGCTATACCAAAATAAAATGGAACTATGGAAATGGTGACTACGATAGGAGTGTGTGAGAATGTTCAGCGGATGAGCGTGAGACCATGAAGCTATTGAAATAGCCTCGGCGCGTGAGACTTGGGCACCATCGCCGAGTGGGTGAGAGGCTGCAGGGGTGGTCCAGATTACTTGTGACCCCCCCTCCCCCAACTGAATTATCTAAAACGTTACGTTTTCTTAAAGCAAGGTTTATTAAACATTAAAATGCAAAGGAAATAAATCGATAGAGGTAATTTGGCAGGGGGAGGGGTGTGGCCGTCACAAGAGATATCGACCACCCTGTACAGTATATACAGTACACGTAACCGGCTTAAGTGTGCTTCTGTATGGCTCTATGAATCTCGATGGCACGGACGTGATTACTGTACAAACTAAAACCTCACATATATAAGATAGAAATTAGACAAACCCAGCGGAATCGGAAGCTTTTGCACGTGTCTCGCATCCGATCTCGATAAAACGAACGACGCATCTGAATGCTCCCGCACCTTACGACTAGCGCAGCTGACGAAAGCAGCTCAACAGCTTAACATCGTCTCCCCTGTGAGATAACGGGCCCGTCGAGAAACGAAGATATTTGTAATAGATCGCGAGCGAGGAATCGCTGTGTTGAGGTTGCGTGGGTGTGGGGTGGGGTGAGTATTTACACGATTTCGGTGGCACAATTCGCACCGATACGTAACACAAAAAAAACGCAACCGCACATTCGTCAACGAACCCCCCACCCCCGTGGTATCCACAGCAAAACATATACATTAGGCGACGTTTCGGGCAATGCCCCGCCCCCGCATGTCATTCGCACTCGAGTTCCGTACTGCACGTGTATCGCCGTACCGCCGATATGAACCCCCTCCCTCCCAGCTCCTCTCTCTCTCTCTGCACTCAACGAGGGCTGCGCAAGCCACGGCCGGCGACGTCGCGTTTACCTCGGGGGCGCGGACAGACACGGGGGGTTGACGGGCGGCGTCGGGACGGCCGAGGAGACAAATGTTTACTTGTGTGTTGTGGCCGAAGCCTCGAAGGGCCCCTTCCTGTTTACTTCCAGGGTTGACACATCCGGCCCGTGACGTCATTGAGGGGGGCGGGGTTGGTGGGGGGGGGCGTTCGGTTGCTCAACTCGAACATTTGAAAGAAGTGATGTTTTGATTTAAAGCTTTCGTGACTGCAGTAATTCATATTCTTAGTTTTTTCGGTAAAGTCACGTTGAAGAGAAACAACAAAATAACAAAATATATATAAAACAATAAAAAATTCTCACGACGTTTCGACCATAACTCAAACGGTCATCATCAGGTGTGTCGGTTTGCATAAATTTATTTTGAAAACGGCATATTTATTTATATATAAAAATAACGTTTGCGTCACGCGCATAAATAAATTTATGCAAACCGACACACCTGATGATGACCGTTTGAGTTATGGTCGAAACGTCGTGAGAATTTTTTTATTGTTTTATATATATTTTGTTATTTTGTTGTTTCTCTTCAACGTGACTTTACCGAAAAAACTAAGAATAAGAAGTGATGTTCTTCTTCTTTGGTTCTTTCGGTAAAGTCACGTAGAATGAGAATAAAATAATAAATTGATAAAATAAAATAACACAATAATATTCTCACGACCTTTCGGCCACAACACAAGCGGCCTTCATCAGGTGAAGGGACGAGACTGTCTGGTAGGACAGCGCTGGAGTGAAAAGAGCCACGTTCAGATCACGGCCTTTAAGCTTAGAGTCGCGGCATCTCTTCAGAAAGGTGAGAGACTCGATTAGTTGAGCCTTCTTATCCCGGAGTCTGTTGAATGATCTTAAGAATGTGTGGAATCCCTCCCGAAAGAACCAAAGAAGATGAATCATTGCAGTCACGAAAGCTTTAAATCGAAAAAGTGATGTTCTTGCCGTTGGTTTTCACACCTGATGATGACTGCTTGTGTTGCAGTCGAAACGTCGTGAGAATTTGATTGTTTTATATATATTTCATTATTTTATTGTTTCCCTTCAACGTGGTTCCGTCTGTAAAAGATGTGATTCCAGACATACAGTACCCTGGCGTCTACAAACTAAGTTGCCTCTGTGGTAGTAGTTACATTGGAGAAACCAAACGCCATGTCTCGGACCGCATTCGTGAACACAAAGCAGACCTTAAACACGGTAGGACCAACACCTCGGCCGCAGCAGATCACTGTTGTAATTCAGTAGGCTAACGTGACATTGACTTATCCAAGACAGAGGTTATTTGCAAGCCATCTGGCTACCATGAGAGATTCGTTCATGAGGCTATCCACATATACAAACACAGAGACAATTTCAACCGAGAAGATGGATGTTGGCTTAGCAATCATTGGAAGGATTTGATAAACCATTTAGGGTCTTAATTGATTGTTCACGCTTACGGTGGCTTTCAGACCGCATCCATTATTTTCGTCTCCCCCCTCTTCTTTTCCGAACATAGATGGACTCGTCTATCTGAATAATTGCCAAATTGCTCTCCGTGGTGCTAACGCTAAAAAAACGCCACTTTTTTCATTTTTTTTTGCTGTGGTTTTCACACCTGATGATGGTTGCTTGTGTTGCAGTCGAAACGTCGTGAGAATTTTATTGTTTTATTATTTCATTGTTTCCCTTCTACGTGACTTTACCGAAAGAACCAAGAATATGAATCCCTGCAGTCACGAAAGCTTTAAATCAAAATCTTAACACCTGTTTTGTTGCCAGAAAAAAGGGGAAAACCTCTTATCATATTTTGGTACTGGCAAAGGAGATCCCATGATGAAAGTGATAGTTAATACATTTTAAAAAATTGGTGATATTTTAGTAAATATAATTGCAGATGAAAATGTTATACTTACTTGCTCATATTAATGTTTGTAATATACTTATGTATGCATTTCCAGCTTACAACATTGCACATGTAAAACCAGTTTGCCAGCCCATTACTGGATGAGCCTTCCCACGCCTGCGGGAGTCGTGTTATTTGACCAGACTTCACCAAGCTAGTCGCTCCAGGTTTGAAATGGGGCACACATACATAAGCACTTACAATCTAAATGCTCATAAAATGCGCGTGCAATTATATCCTAATTCATGTGTTGGTAATTACGAATACTGCAGTAAACATCTTCCCCAGGATCACCTCAGATCAAATCCTGTTGTACATTATGCAAACGAATCTCTCCCTTCCTCGATAGCTTCATCATTGCTATTATCTAGCTGGCAAAGGTTAAATGTGGGATACAGGACAAAGGGGAGATGTGGCTTCCAGTTTTATTTCACGAATGGATGGATATAGCCAGCCCTAGCGTTTCGGTGTTTTTTTTTCTATAGCGTGTAAATTACGTGCAATCAATCTAAAGCCAATTCATGTAATGCGATTGCAGGGAAGTTTGCATTGTATATCTTAAAAGCAACACGATTCACATTATTGAAATGCATTAATTAGCTCCCCAGTTCTGGTACGAAATACAATATCCTCCCAGTGCATATTAAAATGAGAATGATTGGAAAACATTAGCTTCCATATGAAATGTCTTGATGTGAGGTACTGTACCTTAATGTTGTCCCGTTGTATATGGTAATACGATGTGCGATTTTGGTTTCAGTCTCCATGTTAACTCACAATTGATGCCCCTCTGAATTTAGCTTCAATCCAGTGTCACCAAGTAACATCGTGTCAATGACTCAATCTTCATTGCACTTTAATGGCAATGTTAACCGTGCCAAGGCGACTGCTTGTTTTACGCTTGATGAGGCTGCCACCTAGTGGTACATTTTATTGGGGAATCGGACATTTTAACATTCCGAAATACTTTGCATGGTTAGAAACTTTTATAAAAATGGGTGTTTCTTACAACGGCTATTATAAAGCAATGTTTAAACACTGCCCTAATGTGTAAAAGTGATGATCATTGCAAGACCACTGATTTACTAGTTACAATTCATGTGAATTCCCGTGATGTATGGGTCGGAATCCTTCACCATGCGTGTCACATTTTGCAGGCAGGGAGAAATATCGCAGTACAGTACAATTTTACTGCATTAACACCTCCTGCCCACTAGTCTCGTAAGAGCCCACACATCCATTTAATATGGTGCGTATCCATCCCGAGCAATATTCAGGGCCATGCCTACGTTGCGAGTAACGTCTAACAAAATTAGGCATTCCACTCCAAACACCAACACATTTAAATCTATTGATATTAGTCAGGCTATATTATAAGTTTGTTTCATAACTGAGAAACGCTTTGGTTTCACTATTATTGTAAAATGTCTGCTGCTTGACAATTTTAATCAGAATGCAAAGTGAGAAATGTGTTCAATAAATGTCAAAAACATTATTATTTGAACAAATGTTTATTGGCAACCTTTAAAAAAATTCCACAGATACACAGTAATGGGTAAAGGAATAGGAGATGCAACACAAGCTTGATGGGGAGGAAAAGAAACTTAAAGATGTAATCAAACCACGTACAAAGTTTCAATTTACCTGAAGTTGTTATAAAAATACACGGAGCCTGTGTACAAATGCTGCTGCGCTGGAAAAAATGGTATAAGATCTTATCATGAATCCCCTTCAATCCAGGCAACTTTACCATGATGCACAAGGGGAGAAAAACTAATTTCCGAGACAAAACGCGACAAGAAGCAAGCAATTTGTGTACAACTTCAACTATTCTATGAAATACACGTGGCTAAAATCTAAAAATCTACTTTTTTTTGTATCCATGGACCCAAGGTGTGCGGGTGCAATGCTGCCAAGGCTTAGGCGCGCTCGCCACGGATGCGTCGTGCCAGCTGGATGTCCTTGGGCATGATGGTGACACGCTTGGCGTGAATCGCACACAGGTTGGTGTCCTCAAAGAGCCCCACCAGGTAGGCCTCGCTTGCCTCCTGCAGACCCAAACATAACCGTTACTTGCAAGCACACCGCACAAATAGACATTTCAAACCGACAATACGATAAAACACGCGAGCACATTTATGCTATTGTCGTACCTGCAAGGCGCCAATGGCAGCACTCTGGAAGCGCAGATCGGTCTTAAAGTCCTGCGCGATCTCACGAACCAGGCGCTGGAATGGCAGCTTGCGGATCAACAGCTCCGTCGACTTCTGGTAACGACGGATCTCACGCAGCGCCACCGTGCCAGGTCTGTTGTAAACCGCACACACAACCACGTCATACATGGTTACATCGTGAAATAATGCCTGTTCATCAAATGTAATTGTGTTGGGAGGCAAGTGTTGATACGCTCCCGTTCGTGGCACCCACCGGTAACGGTGAGGCTTCTTTACACCACCGGTGGACGGCGCACTCTTGCGAGCCGCCTTGGTGGCCAGCTGTTTGCGTGGGGCCTTCCCACCAGTGGACTTACGGGCTGTTTGCTTGGTACGGGCCATGGCCTTTTAACCACCTTCGTTCACCTGGTGAAGATTGGTGACAGTTGTTACCACACAGCAACAAGTGAAGTCAATGCAAAAAGGGCTATCTTAATTGACTCAATTACTTAATCATAAAAAAACCATACCAAATTGCCTTAACACGATTTAGTTTAAATAGGTGTTATGATTATAGCTAGTACAGTCATGTGTGTATATATAGCTCGGATCCGTTTACCCGAGTAGAACATATCATTGGAAAAGTTAGGTAGATTAAATTCAATACAATTAAAGTTGTTTTTATTCAGTCTCTCAAGACTTTTTCACAGACAGCTAATATGGCAACATCCAATACGGACACGCTTTACCAATGCTGACCGACACATAAGACGATTAAGGGGGGCACTGAGGGAAATAACCTTGCCCCTTTTGCTGGAGGGCTCAGCTTAGGGGAAGACCGGAAAAGCTAATGTTGGGCGATGACGAGAAATTCGACAGCTGGTAGGAGTTGAGCCCAGGAAGAGCTTCACACTTTGCTCTGCTCAGTGCCAACCACGTTGTCCTTTGTTTCCCACGGCCAGGCTCAACGTAAGGCCTTCTCCCGCCCAGCAGCACCTTTCCGCGATTAATCTAAGCGTGTGTAGGCACCGACGTGCCGTTACTGGCACGGATATATATTTAATCGGGTTGTAAGACCAACAACGCTATCAGGGAGAGAGAGAAAGAAAAAACGAGACATCTACAGGGAGTCGTAACCCACCCACACCGACCATTGGGGACGAAGCGCAGCACGCGGACGCGTTCACGGCGGACCGCGGGGGAAAGACTACGAGCTCAATTAACGTAAAGGACGCTATAATAGGCGACGATTACGGCATTACCCGCTATGTATATTCAGAACACGTAATCCAAGAACAAATGCGAAGGCACGAGACAAACGACAAATTCGCGCCAAAAAAGTAAAGCTAGTAAAAAAAGACCAGAGCGAGACAATAGAAGACCGGTACACAGGAGACAGTAAAATAAACGTCGACACACAAACGTAACTTCCACAAAATACCGAAATAAATAGCATTTGTTCGTAGCGTCTCGTCTGTTTTACTGTATCGTCTCTTTCATTCCAAATAACCTCAACGAGGACGCCCGCATTAGCTCCGGAAAAAAAGCGCGAACATAATCGCTTACTCAATACAACCACGAGTGCAAATCACCGATTTATATCGATATTGGCGGCACGCGGCCTAGGCACCTAGTACATCCGTCCCGCATCACCACCAACCACGCACTTTGAAAAAAAAACCTATGCCCAACTTCCTCATGGCCCTCTCACGAAGCAAGCGAAACAATCGTTCCAAGGCCTACAAACCCCGCCGCAAAGCACCTCTCTCTCTCCTTCTTCGCTCGTTGGCGACAACGAAAGCCTCGTCCGCCGGTGGGTGGGTGGGGCAGCACGCGCGGTAACCCAAAGCCAATTAAAGCGAACTCGTGATCTCCCGCCTCCCAATTCCAAAGCGGCGCCTTCCTTTAGTAGTACCGACTGCCCGGGGGCACGTAGACGCGATGACGCCACCACGCACGCACGCGTTTTGTCGACGACGACGTCACCGCGCCGATCTTTTTTTTTCTGTTCGCAAACGCCTTTTGACGTCACGCAAAGCCAACGACGTCATTGAACGTGACGCAACGTGGGAGGGTTTGGGAGGTGTGGAAGGGGGGGGTTGGAGGGAGGGGATGGAGGGGGAGGACGGAGGGGGTCAGGGGGGGGAGAAGGGAACTGGAGGGGGAAAGAGGGGGCCTTTACGGGGGGGGGCCTTTACGGGGGGGGGCCTTTACGGGGGGGGGGCCTTTACGGGGGGGGGGCCTTGACGGGGGGGGGGGCCTTGACGGGGGGCGGGCCTTGACGGGGGAGGGGGCCTTGGCGGCGGGGGGGCCTTGACGGCGGGGGGGCCTTGACGGCGGGGGGGCCTTGACGGGGGGGGGGCCTTGACGGGGGGGGGGCCTTGACGGGGGGGGGGCCTTGACGGGGGGGGGCCTTGACGGGGGGGGGGGCCTTTACGGGGGGGGGGCCTTGACGGGGGGGGGCCTTGACGGGGGAGGGGGCCTTGACGGGGGGGGGCCTTGACGGGGGGACGAATGGATAGGAAGGGGGGAGGAGGCGAGTAACGTGGGCGGGTGTTGTAGTGGAGAAAAAGGAGGGGGGGGGATTTCACCCAGCCTCGCTTGTCTCGCCTCCCTCCTCTCACACGTGCTCCCGCCAACAAAACATTTCCAAGAAATGTAATAGAAATAATACCAAAACAGCCGCAACTATAAGATCGGGAGCGGGGGTCCACGACGAAAACAACACGAACAACACGAACACGACCGTCACGGCGGGCAGGCGGGCGAGCGACGACAAATGGCCGGACCGAACCGCCCGCCCCCTCACCGCGACAATAAAAAAAACCCCGCTCGCGACAAGCGACGCCAAAAACACAAAAACAACCACCACCCTCAAAAACCGCCTTTAACGCACGGAAAACAAAACAAAACCGCGGCAATTTTTCCCTTCCTTTTGTGTGTGTGTACGAAAGAGATCGTAGAACAACGTCGCTTGTCGAGCGCCCCGCGCCGACACTCCCGACTCACCGGGGACGCTTCTCTCTCCGTCTTCGTCTTCTTCGTCTCCTTCGCCGCCTTCCGCCGCCGCTCAATCGAAAAATGGAAAAATGGCCGCTCGCGAAACCGCCGCGCTCGGGAGACGCTCGCGTGACGTCACCGCGGTTCGAGGCGTCTGACGACATCACGTCCGGCGGGGGTGGTCGCTCGCGCGGTGACGTCACCGCGCGTTGAATTTGCAAGTTGGGTGGTTTCGGCACGTTCGCGCGGTTACGTCATCACGTTATTTTTTTTAACAAAAAAAAGTGCCACGCAAAAGGGGGAGGTTATCCGAAACATCACGTATTATATTTTTCCTTCCAAGGTCACTGTTATGCACGAAAGCATAACATTTTCACGTTAATGTAGGTGTTTTTTTACGTGGGCGTGATGATGTCACCGCGTTTTATATAAGTGACGTCACCCCGTATAGGGGCGGTGATATTGTCTCAGGAATGTCGGTGACGTCATCGCGGTTGACTCTCGTCTGGTACAACGGCCCCACCCCCTTACACAAAGGTCGCCCCACAGCGAATCGATTCTCGCTATACGTGCTTGGAATTTGATTTAGGAATCGATTCTTCGTTTTGCTTAAATACTATTGGGTCTGTGAAGTTTATCCCAACAGCTAGATTACGTCCACAGTTATAACTTTAAAGTTTAAAACTTTAAAGTCATAACTGTTTTGGGCTCGATACACGTGTGAGCAAAATAAAATCCATGTCCAGCAACTATAAGCAGACATTTTTATCTCCAAACAATGCGTATACATTATTTAACCCACCAGCCTCTTTAAGATGTTTTCTTGTTCGTGTTTTTGTTTTTTTGTTTGTTGTGGTTGCACCCGATTCAAGAGCCGGATGGCTCACAGGGCTATACCAAAATAAATAAACTAAAACTAAAAAACCCTTGGATTTACAGACTATCAAGCAGCCTTTGTTTAAGCAAGCACATTCTGGACTAGTTTCGAACTTTTAGCGTCTCATCAGCAGTAATGCTTGTTAAATACAGCTGGATTACCAGATGTTTGCAAGAGCACTCCCATCTTAACAGTAGAGAGCGTAGGTAAATTATGTATTGCAAGTGCCCCATCTATATCCCTTTATTTAACAAGCAGCATATTAAAAAAGGACTATAATCACGATGGCAATAGTTGGAAACGTCAGGTCAGCATCATGTATCGTGATATACTGATTAATCACAATGCTGTATAATAACAATTATAATCATTAGACCTCCTTTGCCAGTACCAAAATGTAATAATAGGGTTTTTCCCCTTTTTCTGGCAACAAAACTGAAACCTTTTTACAAGGATTCATGTCTGCATTAACCACAATACCTGCAGTCAAAATGCAAACAAAAAACATACTATGATAATATATGTGGCATTGTCCTTGAAACTGATTGGTCCACACCAAGGGACGGCTTTCTTTTGAGCCTCGACCCAATTGGTGCTCAACCAGATGAGAGCTCCAGCGTGATTGCGTGAATTTGAATTCTGATAGGACAGGAATTTCCAGCCAATTGTTGTGCAACCTGTAGCTCTTTTTTGGCGTAATATTTATACAAAGTGTTATATATTAACGATGAATGGATAAATTAGGCACACTTGGCGTCCATTGTTAAGCCACACGCGTGAATTAAACGACTGAAGTCTGATCAAGTTTTCAGAACCCATATAAATTAAGCCACTTTTGACAAACTGAAGTTGATCTATTTAGCCTCTGCTCATTTGAAACACAATGAAAACCGCGACATCTGTGTCCCGCCAGGCGAGTCCCCTCGTCAGACAGAAGTAATGACCGAGGCGTTTGCAACATTGAGTACAAAATTTGCATAGAAACGTTCTGATTCGCGGATTGGAAGAGACCGCTCCAGCCAATCGGAGCGCGCGAGTGCATATTTGGCGCGGAATCCCGTTTTCGCAAGTTCAGCTGTTGCGCATCGTTCCGCATGTGCATCGTGTTTATTGTTATTATTATTCTTGTTGTTGTTGTTTACACTCAGAATTTGCTACCGTTAACTTCGCTCACGAACATGGGGAAGCTCGAAATCTACGTCCTGTGGAATCTGAAGGATCCGCCCAGGCAAGCAATCAGGTCGGTAGTACGCGTTTGTTACATTGTGCCACTGGGATTCGTTTTCCCGCGCAATGTTTTTTTTGTATGAAGACGATCGAGCTTTGCTGTTATTTATACTGTAGTTTGTATTATATATTGTAGTTTGTATTATATACTGTAGTTTGTATTATACAACAGATATGAACGTGATGGCCCTTTGTCCCTCAAGGCATCCCCCCCATTCCGTGTCCGTTCTAATGGATTGCTTGACCATACTTCACCACGCTGGTCAGTGCGGCTTTTGTGAATGAGGAGTCTGGAATCGTTTCAGATATCGTTCGCCACTGATTATTAGCCGTGGTCTGGAATAATATGCCTCTAGGTTTTGCGGGTCAATAACGCAATTCCCTAATCATTGTACCACCGCCTTAACCCCCTACTATAGTAACAACATGGCCTGCGAAATTATAGGATGAGGGCCCGACGGATTATAATTCCCCGGGGTAAATGTATGTACATGTGTGTTGAACTTCTTTAGCACCCTACGTAGGCAACAGTGCTAATCGGAGGTGTGGGGGAAGAACAATCAACTAAATGTCCCCACCTGCCCCGTGTCTACGGCCCAGGTCTTAGAACCAGGAGAGATCCCACTTAACAGTGCTTTGTCAAGGGAGATTTGAGTCACAGTACTAACGTGATACAGAATAAACCCTATAGTAATTAATAGACAAGTGGCTAAATAAATTACCACTTGCTTCGAAGTGAATTAAGCAAATGTCTGTCACGCCACGGATATGAAACTGTATTTAATATAATAAACCTGTGGGTTTTTAACATGCCCACTGGGACCTACTGCGTTGCCGCAATGTAGCGCCTATGCAGGAGCTACAGGAGCTACATTGTTGCTGCATCGCGAGATCATGGAGAAATATGACTTAGGTGGATTTCATCCGACCGTGGATAGTCCATGGCTGATGATAACAATATGGGGGAATACTTATTATAAATTAAACCCGGCAATTGCAATAATAGTTTTCACCACGTGGCCTTGTGTGACCTTTAGAAGTTGCGTGTTTCTACCACTTGCGTTGTTGGGTGCAGCAAGTCGGACCGTCTTTGCTTTTCGCTGGCCGTGCCACTGCCCCTGCCCGCTCACCTGGTGGTGTTCACGCGGGGAGCGTGGGGCGCCTACTCGGCAGGCAGCTTCGTGAGCGTAGAGATGAGGGTGCCTGGAGCCGTCAAAGCACAGCCCCTGGGCACCTTGTCTGCAGAGAACAGGTGAGAGCGAGAGAGAGTTCGTTGCCACAAAAACAGCCTCACGAATGGATACGTGTGCGGTGGTTTTGGGGGCCGCTGAGCAACGAAGCGATCAAGCATCATTAACACGTAAACGGATCTGAATGTATTGTGGGCAGCAGATGATAGTTTATCAAAATCCCTTTTTAGATCGCGCTTCATTGCTCCCATGTCTCTGTTCCCCCAGCTTTACCAATCTGCACTCACTAGCATAATTTATTTTCTCATTAATACGTGGTGTAATTGCATGAATTGGATAACTTCTGTTCAATGACCAACTTGTGTAATATATAACGTATACCCAGTTGAATAAATATTGTTTAAAGCAATAAAAAAGTGGGACAGATTGAGAGCAGTTGCAGAAAAATCATTATTGCACTGATCCTGTATTTATACACCGCCATTTATGTCCTTAATTTAATCAACACGCACTGACCAGTGTGTGAAGTATGGACAAATAACACACTACAGCCCAAACGGCATGCGAAGGGGGCCCCCTCATCGTCTATCAGTAGAAATTTATAAAATTAGCTCTATCTGTTCATAAACTCTGATGCACTG